GTGATTGTCAAAATATCGTAAAACATTGATGATGACAAAAGAGTGAAAAAACCATATTGTACCGTTAACAGAAATTTTTATCGAAACAGTTACGAATTATTTTCGTGAAAAGAATGCAATATAATAACCCGAATACACTATATGCCAAAAAGCGCACAATATGTGGCTTCAGGCGTAAAAACTTTTAGCTAAATTGAAATATTGCTGAACGAGAGATTTAACTTTTTATCACTAAATCGCAGTTACTGTTATATCGACGTTTTTGAGACGTTCAAAATCGATTTGCATATGTAATCATGCATAATTGCAGAGAAACATTATCACTATTCTTTCCTTGTTAAATTATTGTATATGTATTGAATAAAATTCAATACAAAATAGAAATTATTATTTTTTCATAATAAAAATTAATTTTCTGCAATTTCTAATACAATTCTATAAAAATACGGTACGAATGGATTTACAATTTTATTTATTATATTAACAAAGGTCAACGCTCTTCCCGCAAAATTAATATATGGTTAAATCCTTCGAAGAAATCAGCTCAATGGCTGTACAGTAATGAGATATATCGTTGTCGTGGCCACGTTGTTCCAACGAAACGACCTCCGACGAGTCCTGGACTAGGAAATGACCAGGATGATCCGGTCGTAAGATTTAATCTGTTAAGACGAAGAGCAGGAAAATAGAAAGATCGGAGGGTCTCCGTCCCAAAGTGGGGCAGCGGCAGTATCAGTGACAGCCTCGAAGGCACAATAGCAATTACCAGAAACGACGATCGCTCGTCGCCGAGTGGCCAGATAGCGTTGAATGGAATCGAATCTGCGGTAACGTTCCGAAGAGATTGGCTGCCCGGCAGTGCAGCGCGCGGAAGGGAACGGGAGGGCTACACAGATCGATCTCGAGTGTCATCGAACGTAAGCTTTATCGATCTTGGCGAAGCCAAGCGCGACAGCCGGATATTGGACGGATAAGGATACGAGAGGCCTATAAAGCGAATGCGGTCGGTCTTCACGCAAGGTGCACGCGATCAGCCGCCGATCGTGTGTATCGATTTGAACGCCCTCCGAGGCGTTTGTGGCCTTTTGTACGGCTTCGACCGGTTAATATACATCAGTTATCGTGCCTTCGCTACGTATAGAGAGGGGCACGAAAAATGCAAAGTGCCTTGAGACCACTAAAGGTATCTTTTGTCACAAATTTGTTGATCGAAGAAAATCACTTTTCAGAACAAAAATATCTAATGGTTTGAAGGCACTCTATGTAGTTAGAAAACGAAAAAAATATTGTACTATTTCCTTTTGAATGCCGCATGCCGGTTTGAATTTTAACTTGGTTGAATTTATGTCGGAACAAGACAACACATAAATGGGATAGTTGTAATATTAATAAGAGATAATACAACTATTGACACATCACGGTTACTTGAGAACGGACAATCTGATAAAAATGTAATAAAAAAGACTCTCTTTTTCGACACTTTTTTCGATCTTTTTGGAACAAAATTTTCTCAGAATCGCTATTTTTCCTCCATAGAAATATTTTTTCGCCACCTATATAATATTTTCCACGTTAATTGACGTTCGAGAAAAAGTCCCCTCTATTTTCCCAATTTTGTCGGACAGCTTGATCGAAATTGGAGGTCATGAAAATCTCGCCCAGCATGTCCGCCCCGGCGAAGTAAAACAAGTATAAAATGTAGGAGACAATATAACGGGGAGCAGCGCGTTATAACGTTATTTTCAGGTTCGTACGTTTCTCGCCGTCGTATAGTGTCGATGTTTTCCGTCGGTCGAACATTACCGCGAGCTCTGGCCGGATATTACGGCGAACTGCCGGATACGCTATACGTATCGCAGAAATTGTCGCGAATCAGGACGTCCGCGAAAAGTAATATCGTAATCAGCCATCGGATGTCAAATGTACGTGACTACTTGCGTCCAACTGTCCCGGATACGATGCGAAAAAGCTGATTGGCTGTTGACACGCTTTATTGCATTTTTGTGGCGCCCTAAGAATCCGAGGGAGAAAGAGAGAGATAAATTATATTTAGAATTATACAGATGTAAAAATATACAGATGTAAATACAGTACAGATAAAATTATACAGATGTAAAATTGTGTTTTTTTTGTATGTTGCAGTTCAACGTGGTCATCGTAGTGCAATTCCGTGCAGTTGCGCATCGTATCGGTGAGTGATAAATCAGAGTAATAAACTTAAATTAGGATTTTCGTATTATGTATAGAATTTTGATTCTCATTAATTTTCAGAATATGTTAGTGTACTAATTGTACGTGATTGTGGGATATCTTGTAGTACAAAAGAGTCTGATTATCACTTAATAAAATTATTTACGTTATATATAAATTATAGGAAAATATTTTCAATAATCCAGTTAATGTAGTCAAGAGATGAATATTTATTAAGAGATATTTATCTCTTGACTACATTAACTAGATTGAAAATATTATCTCATAATTTATTTTTAATTATGATGAAAGTTTGGTGAAAATTGCAATGGTAATCGATGAATAATTTCAAACTCGAATCTCAAAGGGCATTTCCCAGTTGCATTCGCGGGTACGATTATAAGAAGACGCAAGACGTCATCATGTAACATCATAATAAATTTGTATTTGAATCGATACACACCAACGAGGATCATACGACTCCCTCGGATGCGTAATATCGTTATTGATATTCAATGTCAGCTACATCATACCCAATCTGACTAGTTGCGTTTCGCGATAAATTGCATTTGTGGCTCGGGGGTGGCTTCGGTTGGCTTTTCCCGTTCAATAAACAAAACGAAAGAGAATATTACTTTCGTCGCATACATTTTATACATATATATTCTGTGACCGTCAATTTATTTTTCTTTTTCAAGCGTAAATTATATCTTTATCTTTTATGTATACACCAACTGCTTTCCTGCAAAGTAATAGCAGGAAAAATTATTTATACATATACAGAAGCATTATTTATATATAATTAAATCTATTTTGGAATGCACTTTTATTTTAAATTTTTGTAAGAATTCTAAAGAAGGAGGGAGTTAATTATAATTATCATAATTAGATTAATTATATTTCTATGAAAATTGTTTAGTAGTTATTATTAAACATTCTTAATTGAGCAGCAAGCTATACAAATTTTATATCTTGAATCAATAACGCGGTTAACATGATTTATTTCCTATTCTACGATCTCTCAAATGAAAGATTTTATTTCGGATTTGGAGATACAAACATTTTATTTCTACGCCGCGGGAAAGCGATCTTAAAACATCCCCATAAATTCTCTTTAAACTTTTATTTCTGTGCAATTGGGGCGAACGGTGTTGGCAGTAATTCACAGTTTGCACCTCGCCGTGTGTATTAGGAATAAAAAGTAGGCAATTTTATTAGAGCTAATTGAAGAGACTTGAGAGATGTTGTCGGGGCGATATAGAGAAAGTGGAAAGTCATGTTTCCAACGGATGCATTTTCTTCTAAAGGCGTATCAGGACGTTTTCGTTTTATTATCACGTAAACGTCATACGGAATTGTCAAACGTCACGGGGCAAGTCTGGCGATTTTTCCGAGTGTCGAGTAAGGACGACGTACATTGTGAGAAGGAGACTCGCGAGCTTCATATGACTCTCCGCTCGAGTTCTTCATCGTAAAAGTTAAAGAGAGAAATAGAGCGAGAAGGTGCATGTTAGAGGGACGGACGAGAAATCTCGTAAGGGCATGAAGGGGCACTGCTGGAAGGCACAGAAGAACGATCCGGGTTCGTGTCATAAAAGAGAGTGGTGAAAGGCTGGACGGATCTAGTCTCGGGGCCTTTCATAAAGTGAGAGGAAAGCAAGAGCGTCCCGGGAGGAAAGGTCAATACTTTGGTAGATGACAGTATTGGTCATTGCAAAGAAAAACGTCTCCGTGAACATGTGTTGCAAGCGAATTATGCATGGCAATTTAAGATAGAATTCTTCAAACTTTATTACGATTTTTAAAAGTTATTATTAGCTCGAAAATATTATTAGTTATTTCTTAGCACTCGAAATGCTGCCTGTAATTTGCTTTATTTTTTTTTATATCAGATTTTTAAATTACATCTCGTAAAGTATTTAAAATTCAGCCTCTTGTTTAAAAGATCCTTATTTATAATAATCAATATTATTTATCGGGTGAACGTAATTTCTTCAGGATGGAATATATTTGATGTAGATGCGTCCATTGAATACATGTATTCGTCACTTATACGCGATCCTTCTCTCATCGTCGGGAAGGAGACATTCACTATCCATTCTGTATCCCCCGAGCTTAAGAGCTTCGTCTCCAGGCGACGTCCCGGAGGAATTAAAACTTGAAGAGAAAGTATTAGGCAGCTAGGCTTAACAAACTGATTCGAACTTCGGAATTCTCATTCGGACCCTCGGCCTTATGAACCGTAGGTTTATGAGATAGTGTTTTCATTTATACCTTCTCCCCCGATACAAGAGTATCTTAAGAGGATACAGAAAGAAAGTGATACGAGGGATGCTACATCGTAAAAGGAATTGTATTACGAAGCTACAGTATCTAATGAACATAAAGACGCATTAGAAATAATGAAAATTACTCACTAGTTGCTGCTCTCTCATTTTTATTTTGAATTATTTTATATTCAGACTGTAAAATATACATAGATGTAGATTATTTATTGATACACGCGACGTCAAAAATATCCTATTTTTTTATTAAAAATAACTAATTACACTTTATTTCAATTTTCTCTCTAAAATTTCTCGTTTAATTTGATTGACCTATCCAAATTCGAACCAATCCAATAACGGCATTCAAAATGCAAGCAGGTAGAAGGGAGAAAAAGGGTGGTTCTTTGATTTTGAAGTCCACTTGCCAAATACGCGGTAAAAAGTGTGACTTTCCATTGCCGGTAAAAAAAAAAAACAAAGTAAAAAGTTCGCCCGGGCAAGGGGAAAGATGAAAAAGGTCGGTAAAAAGTGGAGGAAACGTACCTGTATCTCTGAGTGTCCATTTCCCTTCGTTCCTCGGCTATGGCTTCGTTTAGGTCCCTGTTCGGATCGATTCCTCTGGGAGCCTCACCGTTCGCTTGCAGATTGTCATTGCTAACGAATTCCACCTCGACTTCATCTTCATGATACGATTCGGTCAGGGTGTACTCGCGTAGCTGAAACAGCAATACAGCGAGAACGCTTTTAATCAATCAAATAAAAAAAAAAAAAAATACATATATCGTTTTCCGCACTGTGAAATACTGTGAGAGATGCATATTTATGAAAAAGAATAAACGGGCTCTTCGAGAATTCATAAACGTTTTATTTATCGTTTCATCTGACCTCCGTCACGCGCGCAATGCTGCATGGATTATGTTCGGGGGATAACACACTTTTAAACATGCTTTTAAACACCGGCGAGCGGATTTAAGAGAAACACTTTATTTCCGAATATTTGCCATATTTATCGCGACAGTATACACATGTGAAGCTCGAAGCTTTTCCGATTTTGCAAATGATGTAACGAAAATTATTTTACATGTTTTATCGATTTTCAGGCTTAGATGTAACTTCTGTTTGAAATCGAAATCGAATATCGAATTGACTCAATTAAGTGTAGCTTTTAGAGATAAACATTACAATTTTTTGCTCTGCGCTAATAACAAGAAACATCGTGATTTTTATATATAAGGGTGATTCAGATACACTTTCATCTACAGATCCCTTCAGCAATTTGAAGTAAACTTAATAAAAAATTAAAGACAGGTCTTAAGAACTTCCAAGATTTAATAAGAGATACAACGGGAGGCATAAGAATGTAATCCTGTTCTATTTAAAGATTAAACATTGACTGACCTTCTTCCTTTCCTTTTAAAAGTAAGTGAATTTTTCATCATCATAAACCGAAAGCCCTTCTTTTCCTTTACGATGAATTTTAATAAATAGGAATATACAGATATATTTATAGTAGTTACCGAAACTATAAGACTGAGAATCTCTCTTTCGACCGATAACAACTTATTTTTAGACACATGATATATATGAACATAATTTACAATATGTTGTTTAGTAACTAATTATTCTTTTAATTTAAAAAATAAATTGTAAGCATGCGTTTTATAAAGTATTTGGTTTATTTCTTCTAGCAAGACAAATATAACCAATTAGGCGAGAATGCATTAAACAACATTGTCGACTTTCTTTCTAAAGCATCGTAGGGAATGATTGGTAGTAAGGTGCTTTCGTGTTGCAGTAACGTTACGATTAATCACCCCCAGTGGTCAGCGGGGTACGACCGAATTAAAGCCAATGAGACTTTATGGTGCTTTACCGGGCAACACTCCGTCGTTTTTCTCCGTTTGCCCTTTAGTCCGACTCGTTTTTATTTTTTGCTGGAATTTTCGGAACGACGAACTCCTGCACTTACTTACTTTGTTGCAGAAAAACGACATTTAGCGAGCGAATAGACTATTTTGTATTTAACTGAAATACATTAAGCGCTTTCGGTTAAGTTTATATCTAAAAAGTTTCTATACGAAGGATAGAATTTTTCAGAGTCTGACGAAATAGAATATTTTTTAAAACTTTTATTTAAGTCACGGAGTAACAAGTGTGATTCCATATAATTTCAATGTATTTTTTACAGCTCTAATAAAAAGAAATAGCTGTAACAAAAGGAAGAATACTCATTTCGCTAACGAGCATTTTAAGACACTTTTAATCACGTTGCCGCTTATATCGGTCATTTATTCTTAATAAAGCTTATCATCGTGCTCGCGTCCCGGATGAATTAATGATATCCTTATATCGATATCCTTTTGGTTAATAAAAGTTGTAAGAACCGTAATTGTAGATAAAAAGCGAATATATTTTTTTTTGTCGAGTGGATATCAAAGAGAATTCATAATCATTGCTATTATGATAAAACTTTTAGTGGAGTATTAGTAACTGAATTGTTCTGTATTGTAATGGTATTTGTATGGAACTAGTTAGTCTTATACTGTTAATTGAATGGTATACTGATTTTATCGACATATTTTGTTTGATAAACAAATAGACAGTTCTATTGAATTATCTTATTAAGAACAATCATATCATTATTCGACAATAATTATTTCTATAAAATTCTGAAAAATATAGTTATACTTTTTCGCGATGTATCTTTTTCTTGAGATACTGATAATATTCTTAACGTTTACATAGAATAATTGGTCAATAAAAAAAAAATGACACTTTTTCTCGTATATCCATTTGGCTGTGGAGGTTGTATTAATGAATACTTCAACAGTTTCATCTGCTTGTTTGTGCTGTGAGGACTTTGAAATTGGAGCAAGCGTTAATTATTGTCTAATTAAATGTCGCGCGTCGAGCGATAGCTTCTAATCATGTTTCGGTAATTATTTCGTAAAATCCCCACGACGGTAGCGTTGATTCTATTCAGGATGCGGATGGAGAGCTAAATCAATAAGGTAGACGCAAACTAGGTAGCACGTTACGTAAATGTTATTTCTCAACTCAGCTTGCTACGTTGCTCTGATACAAACAATAGCAAACAATATGAAAAAATTTTTGTAAGACAGATATTCTTTGATTTTTAAAATATCACGATTAATTTGTTGAAAATAATACAATCTTTAGATGTATAGAAATTGTTTCTCATAAATAAAATCATATGCAATAATATTATTTGATATAAAGAAATTTGGACGAAAATTCCATGAAATATAATTCCATTATTCTATCATATTTTCATACAATAATATATGTGATATTTAATGTAAAGCAGAATTTAAATATTTTAATCTTATTTTTAGTTTTCTGTGTATTTAAAATCGTAATAAAATTCTATAATAAAACATTTAAATTTTATCAGTTTAATACATTTATTGTGATACATTTATCCGTATTTTTCAGAATAAATATGTAATATGCAATATACAAAAGAAATATCAATTATAAAACTTTTATAAAAGAAAGACAGAGAGAAGTATTATACAAAGATAAATGTTACGATAGAAAAGATGGGATAAATGTTGTTCTCAGTAAATGAAGTGCACCACTTTAATAATAAACTATAATCGAATACACTAACTATACTGTAGGTAACTACGATCCACGACCTCTCGCATCGAGAGTTCAGGAGATAACTCACGAGGAACATACTGAATTAATAATAGTCCAATTAATAACTCCTCAAAGCCCCTTGACGTGGTCTCCCAATTAATCGACGATAACGTACGTCCCCTTCGAGAATATCGAACGTTGAGATTGCTATCAATTATTAAGCGCGATACGAAACGCATATCTTTACTGATCACGAAGATAACGAAAAAAAAACGTGTCACTCATCACTTCGCGTGCAATCCGTTGAATTATCGATTACTTGATAATAATCTGTCCATTTGTTCAATCTTCGCAATTCAACATACCTAATCCCGGCGAATAAAATTCAGTGCGAATAAATGTCAGTGCTAACTTTAATTTTCCAAAGTATATCTTTGACTGTTATATCTTCATGAATATGTATTTTATACGATGCTATTACACTGCTATAACCAGGAGATTTCTTCTACTTTCAACTATGCTCAAGACTAATTATCTATGTGGTTTAAGACTTCTCCATTGTAGGCTGTTACAAAGGCGAAAATATAAAAATTCGTGGAGTTACCCGACAACCCGCTGGGAACAAAGGGTTAATTATTTTGTGGCATGACGTAAATTTACATTTTTTTTCCTTTCACGTACGAAAAGTGTGTCTGCGCTCTATGTACATGAAATACTTCCAAAAAGATTTTTTTTTGCTTTACCGAAATGTGGAAAATGTAATTTATGTCTCACGGTTCTTTTCAACGGCTGGATTGTTCATAATTTAACGGGAAAATGTTAGATATCACCTATACATATTTGTAGTACAGAGATTTGAAATTATGCCGAAATTATGATGATTTTAGTGACATTAATTACACTGCTAATTACAGATGTCAATGTATCGATAGAAATTTGCTTATCCGCGAACAAATAATTATTCTAATAGTTTGCGTTCTACCTATTTTGTACATTTTGATTCTACATTGATTTTTCGAATATTCGGAGCAACGATGTCAGCAATTAGCAATGATTGGCATCTGCATGACGCTTGATGCAATCGTCAAAACGTTTATAATCCGGGGAAATCGGCGGTCATGCAATTCAAATCAAAGAGGATTTGCCGCCGTTTAGAGAAATAGTTTGTATTCGTGAGCAGTAAAATGCAGGAATAATATCGTCGAAGTCGTTCCATTAAAAGAGCAGTTTAATCCCGCAAATGACAATCTCGTTTTTGTTGCGAGATCGTATGAAAAACCAATAATTTGTTCATTTTTTCCTTTTTTTACATGCAAGAAATTGCGCTAATAGAGCGAAACCTATCAGAGTAGTTAACGCAACCTGATTTTACACACACACACACACACGCACAGTTAGAAATAATGTATTTCGCAGACGAAACTCATTGTGTTATTTTCATATAAGCACAAACAGAAATATATAACAGTTATTCTCTAATGCACATAGTACTTTCTCCAAATCGTTGCTGTTTCATGCCAGGTCTCTTTACTCTTTTGACACTGTGCATGCTTGTTTGGAGATGGCGCTTTTGAAAAAGCACCCCATCGCGCACGAAGGGAAGAGCCGCTCAAACAAAGTCCACCTGGCAGCGTGTTTTGTCTGCGTAATAACTTTTTCGTCGGGAGGTTAGTGGTTTTTAGCGACGAGGGTTCGATCGCGGATACATTTTTCACGAGCACGCGCTGCCTCGGCGCCTCTCTCCTTTCTGCAGCCAAACGAGGGTGGCCGCGGGGACAAAAACCGCGGCTGGCGAATACGAGAGAAAAGCCCTCGTAGGGATAGGAAAGCAAGAGCGCGCACAGGAGCGATATTACCCCAGCCAAAACAAACCACCCGCGTAACCGTGGAAATTACCCTGGGCATACACAGCACCGCCGAGGTAATATCGAGCTTGGTGTAACGGTTGCACGAGGCCGCATGCTCGTTGCGTATTAGTGCGTGGCTTCGAACACGCCTATGTCGCCTTTATGTCTGTCCTGCCGTTTTTATGCGACTTTTTGCTCAGGAGGCGCGATATCGCGGTCGGCGGTCATCGCTTTCTGTTCGGAGCTTCCGATCGCTGAGCAAT